TTTGCCATAGGTTGTCGCACCCATTAAGATTTTCCAATACGAAATTTGAACGATTTTGGCGAATAATGTTGCTGAAATCATCAAAATACCGGCTATCGGGAGGTACCATTATATGGGGGCTATACGAAGACGTGGACCTGCACAGCAATTTTTCTGTCTTAGACTGTAGTATTCATTACGAACTTTAAATACCAAATTTGAAACAATCCCGGTGAATAATTTTGCTGAAATCATTAAAATATCGACTATCGGGAGTTACCGTTATATGAGGTCAATACGAAGAGGTGAACCTGCATACACAAATGCTTGTCATATGCTGTAGTACCCATTACTAACTTAAAATACGAAATTTGAAATGATTCCGGTAAATAATGTCGCTAAAATCATGAAAAAACCGAATATCGGGAGGTAACGGCTATACGAAAACGTGAACCGACATGGCTCGTTTTTCAATTCGTTCGAAAGATTACAATGATTACAACAGAGAGACAGACAGAATATATATTCTTTTTAGGGTCTATTATGAATATTTCCAGGAGTTACAAAAAGAATGACAAAGCTAATATACCCTCCATATAATTGTGGAGGGTATACAAACACTTTAAACGGGATCTCGGCAAGTAATAAAATTCCACAAAATTATTTGTCATGAAAATTTAGATTTAGGTTACAATTTTTAAGTTCAGGTTAGGTTCACATGATGGTTTATAACAATTTTCCTTAATTTTGGACATTTTCAAGATGCCTTAGCTTATTTTGAAAATCAATGTAATTTTTTTAAGTTTTCACGAGCCGAATTTTCTTGATTTTAGGACAACCAATTTCACAACAATTTAAGTTTCCTTATGGCAAAAATTAGGATACCAGTTAACAGAAAAAAATATATATGCTATTAGTGAAGCTAGCCAAAGTTAAGAATGAGACCTTGTTAATTATCATCAAAATAATTATAATATTTTTGTTCCAATTTTGCTTGAAACAGTGCATATATATTTTCTACTATAAAACTTATAATTTTCACATCTTTTGTCTTTCCTCCTTCCAGCATAGAAATTATCACTGTTCTCCTTCGGGTTATTGTTATTCTTTGCTCTGCCGTCAATGTCGTTTATTGTTTGAGACGCTGGTTCCGTTTAGGGTTCATTCAAAACATCTTGGTAATAACTTTTTCACAACTCCTTCCCTAAAGACCACCTCCTCAACCACAGCGACCGTAGATGCCACATCATAGCGAAACTTCCTTTGGTCTCCTGCTAGACATTTTCATTTTCGTTCAATGTATTCCCTCCATTGCTCCCGAGAAAGAATGTTGTTAGAGGTTTTTGCGTTGAGAGCGCGTGATTTTATTTTTGCCGCTGACACAATTTATATCCTGTGTGCATATATTTCTTATGCTTATCACAAATGTAAAAATGTCGTCATTTGTGGTTTGTGTAGCGGCGCATTGCAATAAAACCCAAGCGACAGAAAAGGCATGGGGGCAGGCGGCTATCCAGTCAGTCAGGCCATCAGACCGTTGTTTTGTTCCACACTGTGCACAGTACGCATTGAGACGTTTTTTGTCTCCAACTCTGATGTCTGTATTTCTTTTACGAAAATAACTCCTGCTGAATGTTTAGGCATGCGGCGTTTTTCAGGGTAAAGAACAATGATGGCATGTTTGGTGATATTTTTCCAAAAGGGAAATAAATTAAAATATTTGCAAACAAATATTTGTAAAAAATTACATTGAGGAAGACAGAGAAGATCAAGTCATATAACGAAACATCATACTACAAGTTCTTCTTAAAATAACTAAAATTGGAATCCCAAAGTTTAAGCTCTTCCTGTGGACATATTTTTTCGTATGGATTTTATGTTTTCTATGGCTTTTATTGCAGAAGAGACAAACTTATGTACTTTACGCTAAGATGATCGTTTAAAAAAAATATATAAAAAAGACTATCGAAGAAAAAACCCAATTGGTCTTTTGCTGAATTGGTCTTTTGCCCGAGATTTTTTCAGCGAAAAGCCCACCTAAAATTTTTGGAATCGTTTTAACAATTGGTGTTAGGTCTTTACCCTACTTTGCGCATTTTTTTGTAACATGGAGAAAGAAACAATATTTATTTTTTACTTTTAAAGATCCGCATAGAATCATTTTCTGAGTCGGTTTATGTATGTCCGTCCGTCCACCCATGTATTTTTGTGAACAAAATGCTGGAAGCATTTATTGTTCGAGTGAGATGAAGTTTTCCACACATCATTTGTTTGGCTCAAGGACGAACCCTATTAAAATTAGTTTTGAGAGTCGGTCCATATATAGATATAGCTTCCATATATATCTTTCTCCACTATCAACTTTATTGTGCACCTAATGTGTTATATTCGTCTAAATACAATCCATTTTAACATATATAACAGAATTCAGAATTATGTACCTCATACATACTGGTACTAGATACCAGATGCAGCTCAGAAATATATCTGCTAAATTCTATCGAAAACGGTTCAGATTCGGATATAGCCCCATATATATTTCATTCGATTTCAAATAAAGTTCATAGTTGGTATGATCTACTTCACATAAATTCCCAATATAAACGTTTCTAATTTAGGGAGCTCCACTTATCATTCTTTTTTTACCTTTGCTTACTAGTTTTAATTCTCAAAGCGCACAGTTTGTTCAGTTTGACAATATTCTTTAATCAAAACTTTCCTTTTTCGCAAAGAATATTTGATTTTTCAAAATCCTTATTTTGAAGATTACCTAGAAGGATATTGCTATAATCATTGCCGCACATGTACGCACATTCAAGTTTTCTATTTCCACGTCTCTATATTTAAACCCTAGAAACCAAGAGTGACCTCAAAATCACATTTCGTTACTTAAGCTTTATCCCTTCACGTAATACCAAATTCCAAAAATTTTTTAGCATTTAGTTATTTCCGTACAGTTAAACTAAGTGTTTTCAAAACAATATCCATATCTTAGCCTCAGATACCAACAATGGCCTTAATATCAAATTTCAGGATTTTAGCTCTGTAATTTTCCCCATTAACAAATTTCATACCATTTAGTACAATTTTAGTACGCATTTCCAAAAACCATTTCCATATCTTTACCACAGACACCAATAGTGACATATATATCATATTTCAGGATTCCAGCTCTATCTCTTCACCCAATACCAATTTTAAATTCGTACATATAAAGAACGCATTTCCAAACCACCGCCATATTTCAAACACAGATACCATCAGTAATGTATATACCTATCTCTATACCTTCACCCAATACCAAATATAGTACCATTCAATACTTTTCGTACAATTATGGTACACAAAGTTATTCTAGAAAAGTGTATATATCTCATCCCAACATCCTCTTTATTTTGAAGAACTAATTTTGAAACCTTTTTAGCTACAGCTCCCCTTTGACTCGAAACAATATGACCTCTTTAGAGAATTCATTAGAAGTGCCATGGAAGTTTCCCCAGTTCCTTTAAATATTTCTTATTTATTCTTTCTATTCCCATGCCAGTGCTCCTAGTTTTTCTCCTAGCCCGTTGTGGTTTTCTGTTGTTTGCTTATTTCTTTCTTTCATCTCCTGAACGCCAGAACCTTTTTGGTGCTGCCTTGTGATAAATGTCGGCAATTAAGTTTTGTATTTGTCGTCCTTGTCTTTTGGCTTTAGTTAATTGTAAAGAATAAAAATGGGTTGCTTTTCTTGTGGCTAGTGGCACATTTCCGTGTCTTGAGCTTTTCCGTTACTTACTCCCGCCAAGGGATAAGACAACAGTTTGTGTGGTTTCGTTCTTAATTACCAAAAATATCTTTTCAACAAAACTGCCAAACTAAGTACTGGGTTAAGTTTTGTGTGTGATGACGGAACAGACGAAAAGCTAAGAAATTTGTACAGACTTTATTGCAGCAACAACAAAAACTAATTTTACTGTTGATATCAAGTCATTTCCTGTTGGGCATTAACTGGAAAGTAAAAGAGATACTCAAAAGAGATAAGAAAAGTGGAATTAAAGATGCTGGGTTGAAATGTATATTAATTTTTGCTTTCCATAAATAAATTATTATAATTAAGCCCAAAAAAGTACATTTTTCCAATAGTCCGACAAAGTCCTGTTGATGGATGAGGATGGAAAAAAATCGTGTTCGTGTCAATCATAATAATTTTGCTTAATGTTACGCTTGAATTCTCTTAACAATTTCAATGTATTATAAACAAGTAAAAATAAAACAAAAACAAATTAAATAAAAAATATAAATCCCAATATCAGACTTTGCCATCAAACACTTTCACATATCCACGCACACATACACCCTCCCATTTACTTACTCACACAATGGCAACTGCATTATGTGTTTCAACTCGTTTGTTGTGTTTTTTACTTCATGTCAGAAATTGAAATAATTTAATTCACTTTTCACTTGTCAGTCAAGTCGACTGTAACAGTTTAATTCACAACAACAGCGGCAGCAATATTGAAGTTTCCATCCGATGGAAATAATATTGTAGGCGTTACGAACACACAGAGACACACAGATTCTCGCTGGGCCAAGGCAAAACCTTGTCCATAAAAGACAAACAAACAACCACCTACACCAACATATCAACGAGAAAAAAACAACCAAATAACAATAAAAACAATTTGACAAGTATTCCGACAGCAAAAGTATATTGTGGTCAATAGTACAAAAAATAATACAAAAAATCAGAGAACAGGAAATACAACAACAAGAAAAACACAGAAACCAATAAAAATTGCCTCCAACATTATTAAACAACTTAATTATTTGTTGCAGGCATTCATTCATGTATACGCTTTCAGATGTTACATATTGTTGTTAATTGTATACAAAAATGTATGTAATTGTATAATATATATACACATATGTGTGTATGTATGTCTGTGTGCGTATGTCTTTTTTGTATGAAATGTCATTACATTTTTTAATTTCCCCCATATTAAAAGCAATTTCTGTCGTCTTTTGTTTGTTTGCAGTTTTGATGTCCGGGGGAGACCGTTTGAAAAGGCTCTTTATTGGTCCGATACAAACTCATTTGGTCCACGTGCCTATTTTGTCACCACCACCCAACCTGCCAAACTACAAGTCGACAATATCCAGCTGGACGATGAGGGTGTGTACAGGTGTCGTGTGGACTTCCAAAATTCACCAACACGTAATCATAGAATAAATTTAACGGTTATTGGTAAGTATTTTTAAAAGGGACCCATACTCATTCATCATATTATTTTAATTTTTTTTTTGATATATTTTCTGAATCAAAATTCGTTTAAAGCAAGTTAGGAAGTATTCAAGGGTTTGCCGACAGATATATGCTCTTAAAATTAGGATTAACTTAAACTCTGGCATAGCCCACGTTTTGGTGCTGCCCTTGTATAATGATAAACTCTGATGTTTTTTACGACTTGACCGTATTTTCCAACAGATTTGACTAGAAATTTTTATTTTATATGGGGAAGGCACATCTTCCGACGCAAGATATTTCTGGAAAATCATAAATGTCATACAAATTAGAAGGACTCACATTTAAGGTCAAATTTTATATGTACAAAAATTTTATTCGTATAGAACATATTGAAGATTTGATGATATGTTTACCGAAGTAAGACCAAAATGCCAGAACTTGTGTCTACATTTATTGAAAAAGTTTGGGAAATGTACAGGGTTGCCCATATTCGACGGACCCATGTGACTTTTGACAGAGATGTCACATCGCTTAATGACATACCGCGTTTGAAGCGTCAGTCCAAGCTGATTTTTACCATGAATCAATACACGCCACGCGAGCGCTCTGAAATAGTTGAAATTTACATTCAACAGAAGAAGTCAAATGTGAAAACTCAACGTGCTTTTAAAAAATGTGAGAAGTGCGCCTTCTAAGAACACCATTAAGCGTTTATACGAAAAATTTTCGACTGGTAAGGCTCTTACTAATTCGAAGAGGCCATATAAAAGTCGACCAAGGCGATCGGCCGAAAATATCGCTGCCGTACGAGCCAGTGTTGAGAGGTCCCCAAGAACATCCCAAAAACGCCGTTCTCAGCAGTTGGGTATGGCTCGGTCCACTTTACAACGGATTATTCGCATTGATTTGCATTTGTTCCCGTACAAAAATCAATTGACGCAAAGAATGTTGCCTGCGGACAAGCCTCGTCGATTAGAATGGGCCCAACGGGCCCAAAGGTCCGTCGAATATGGGCAACCCTGCATGTAATTGATGAGATTTTAATTAATAAAACTCAAAGGATGCTTATTAAGGAATAAATAAAGAGGCAATTACGAACCGTTACCTTAACTATCTCTACAAAGGCTATTACATTAGACGTCTGTTAAGGATTATTCGTGATGGAATTCAAGCGTGATAGTGGGATTTCTTTATATTTGGCTGAAAACCCACATGTGGCTATCGTTAGAGCACTGCAGCATTTAAATGTGAATAAATCTTTTGTGTCCCGTACCATCGCTCGTTACCGTGATACTGGTAGCGTAGCCCGACGTCAAGGAGGAAGAAAACAGCAACATTAGCAACAGTGGTTCGAAAAGCAAAGAAGCGACTTGATCGAAACACGCGTCGCAGTGGCGGAAGAATGGTTCGTGAGCTGAACATATTGCGATATTCCATTCGGCTCGTATTAATCGACCGTGGCATCAGAATAAATGCCGAATATTGTCGGAAAAATATTCTGGAGGGTGTATTAAAGCCTTGGCCACGCAAACATTTTGGCCGCAGACCTTGGATTTTCCAACAGGACTCAGCACCATCGCATACAGCACGCGCCACTCAAGAATGGTTACAAAATGAGGTTCCTCGGTTTATTTCCGGCGCACAATGGCCAGCAACATCTCCGGATACCAATCCGTTGGACTATTGTGTCTGAAGTATTTTGTAAAGCAAAGTTGGCACTTAAAAATACCAAAGTGTCGATCACCTCAAACAATCGCTTCGCCAGGAATGGGCCAAAATACCGCAGAGCAACATTCGGGCAACGTGTGATGGTTTGAAGACCATAATTCGTGCCAAAGGTGACGAATTCGAACAAATCTACATTTATTCTAAACTTTGATGCTATTTCCGACATTTTTTGCTTTCATTCAATAACATTTAAAAAAATGTTTAAAAATATGCCGTTTGACTTTGTTGCAGTTTTTTTATCGCACCCGTGGATCTTGAACTAAAGGAAGCGTTTAATGACGACCTTGAGGATTGAGAATGCAACCTAAGCCTAAGGCCAATCCACCACCTAAAAGAGAAGCCAATGCGACACTCGCGGCGCTAGAAAATCCTCCGGTTAAACTTCGTAGTGGTAACTACTACCAGTTCTTGTTCCATCCAACATTGGACTGGTAACTGACGATATAATACCTGAATAAAAGTTGCAAGATTTCGAGCGGGAAAAATTATTCACAGTAATTGTACTGGACTCACCATGCAGTTTTTCGACAGTGAATATTGGGGAGAGATGAATATTTGGTTGGAATGGTTTCTTTCCACCTCGACTATAATAATATATATAATCCTAAACATATCGGAGAGCATACTTTTAAGACTGCAAATGGACACATTGTAATTTTCCCTCAAAATATTTGTTAAGTCTAATGCTCTATATTAAGAATAATATTTTCCTGGCAGCATAGAAGGGGTTGATTTTTCAAAAAAATACTCAATTCTGTGTAAAACATTTTCGCTAAAAAAAGTTTTTAAAGTTTAAAAATAAAGAAAAAACAAATTTTTTTAATTCAAAATATTTTGTAAAAAAAAAGTATATTTTTTATCTTACATACATTTTTACTCTTCTCTTTCCAGTTCCTCCACATCAAATTCTGGTATATGATGCATCGGGTCGTGATGTGGCCGGTGCTGTGGGTCCACTCTTTGAAGGCGATAACATTGTGTTGACATGTGAAGTGCGTGGCGGTAAGTTAACATGACACGTTAAAACGTTAACAAAATATTGTACAAAAAGTTTGCAACTGCGTGCAAGTAACAAGCGAAAACTGTAGTGTCACGATAGCTAAACCAAAGATTCTGGCAATGCTCAAATAAAAAACAAAAATGATACACCGTATGCCGCCAGCAGTATATGCAGCGTAAACCGCAGAAGAATATACTTCTCGGCGTTCAAGAAATACAGTGCTGTTCACTGATTTGACCTGTAGACATATGCGGTGTCGTAAATCTTTTAAAAACTCCCCCAAGATGTGTACGAGTTTATGTGTGGTCAAAATATAAAAAAAAACTCACACACACAAATAGCTGCATGGGAAAAAATTACATATTGAAAAATTACTGCAACTTGGCAAACAACTTGGCTGGCAAAATATTGTCAGACCTTCGCGTAATGTGCCAACACTAGCTATCGGCCAACTGAGATGTGCTTCTGTATGAATGTTGGTGTGGGTTTGTTTTCTTTTTTCTTTAGTGTGTGAGTGTGCCAACAACTATGGCTGAAGATGATTTTGTTTGTTGCCGCCGCCTGTGCATTGGGTGCCATAAATCATAATTTTTCTGACAACATTTCAGGGACTGTGTTGCGTTGCCAGCGGTGTCTGTGCATAATAAGCTTTAAAATTTTATTGCAACACATGGAATTAATATGAATGATATTTTTCGTTAGTGCTCGTCGCCGCCATCGCCATCGTCTTTGTCTGATGTTGTGTTTGTTTTTCTTCTTGAATTTTGGCCAAGTTTAAGTTTTGCTCATATTTACATTTGGCAAGTCCAAGGTCTTTCTTTCTGTAAGGTAGTGTATATGGGTGCGTATGATTGATAACTAGTAGGCACGTTTCGTATACTAATTATCAAGAGTATTCTTATAAACCTTAACTTGTTTTCTAGTGAATTGATTAAGGCAAGTTAAAAAGTATCGGTCTGTTTTGCCGTTATGATTATTCAAATTGTTGACCCTTTATGTTCATTTCGTATCGGACCACAATAAATATGATATAAAAATTGCAACTTGCCTAGTTAAGACTATATTGGTTACTTCCTTCACTTTATATGAGATATGTGGTAGTTTTTAGAAAATGCTAAAATGTAAGTGAGGTACCAGAAATAGCCGACGGAAGAATTCCATTTTTATACAGATAAAAATATTGGTATAGGTAGAATTATAAGAAAATCGAACATTCATCTCAGGTTTCTGTTTAAGATAAGCAAATTAGCAAATTAGAAGGAATCGCTAATTGTTTTGCACATTCTGACCGATAAAAATATTGGAAATTGTAACCCTTTGTTGATGACGTACCTGAAAGGGTTCGCATATATATAAAATCTTCACAACAGATATTTTGTTTGAAAAAATTTTTGTACCAGAAGAAATTGTCCGATCTCTACTATCTTTATAAAAAATCTTCTATTGTTAGAAATATTGAGATGTGCCAAGTCTGAATAGAATCAGATTTTGATTTCGCGTTTTATGAGCTTTATGGATATTCAAAATTTAGACCCTTTGTAGAGGAGGTGCCAGGAGGAGTGGACCGATACATTCCATCTTCACACCAAACCTTGGGTTAATAAAAATATTGTGATGTGTTTAATTTGAGGATAATTGGACTATTACATCACATCTTATAAGAGTTATAATTATTCAAAATTTGGACACTTTGTAATGGACGTACTTGATGGAGTGAACGGATATTGTCCGATTTGGCACCTGACCTAGCACTGAGGCAAATCTTGGGATTTGGAAATTTAGAGCAAAATCGGATTATCGTTTCTCTTTCTAACAAAAATATTTTTGAAACTTACGACCTTTTGTGGGGGAGGTACCACAGTTAATGGACCGATGTGGCCATCTCCGAACTCGATTTAAGTTTAATAATAATATTATGATGTACCAAGTTTGGACCACATCGGATACTACAAGATTTATGGCGCGCACGAGTCCTGAAACGGATTTAGTCCAAAGAGACCTAGGGTCTAAAACCGTTATTTCGATGAGGTACGATTTGGCCGTATCAAATTATATATACCCTCTCTAGCCATATGGCTAAGAGAATAAAGGCGAAAAATTAAAAAAAGCTCGACCGGGCCGAATCTTTAACACCCTTCACCATTTGAAAGGAACTTGCTCAATATAAAAAAATCCCTTGAAAAATATTATTTAAAATTCCAAGCATAAGATGTTACAATTATATGGAGTTATACGAAGACGTGGAACTTTACTGTCAATTATCTGCAAGACAACGTGGTGGCGGAACACCAAGTTGTAGATAATTCTGTTGAAAAATGTAGTTAAAATATGCATTAACAGACTAAATATCTGAAGGAAAAATTATATGGGGCCTAACGAAACCTCAGACCTCGGCTAGAGAACATGTTGCCTATTACGAACTCCAAATACCGAGTTCAAGATAATTCTGTTGAAAAATGTTTCTGAAAACATAAAAATTACGAATATTGGGAGCTATACGAAGGCGTAGATCCGACCAGGAAATTTTTTGTCATGAGAGGCAGTATCCAAAACTTTATTTGAAACAATACCGGTGAAAAGTGTGACCCAAATCATCAAAATACATAATATCTTGAGGTACAGTTATATAGTGTATATACCACAACAAGGCTATATAAGTACAGTTCTCTACGAGCATGTATCCTATATATTGAGAACACATACTCCCAACTTTTAGCAAATTCAGGTTAAAAAGCCTCAAATCTCTCGGTACAGTTATATGGGGGATATACCAAAACGTTAACCTATATATCCCATTTTCAATACCAGAAGTCCTGCAGACCTTACAAACGTTTGAGTAAAATGTTATCAATCTAATTCATTTCGTTCGAAACCTATTGTAATTTCCACAAACGAACAGACAGCCATCGCTAAATCGACATAAAATTTTATGTTGATCAAGAATATATATACTTTGTGAGGTTTGGGTATATTTATATATTTCGGGCAAAATAAAAATTATTTCTAGATGAACATATTTCACATGCACTCCCCTTTATAATCTATGAACGTTATTGTTCCAATATCCTTTGAAAATTTTGGAACAATATATCGATTTTTTATTAATCTTTAGCATTTTAAAGTACCCAAAGTTTTAAAAATTTTTGCATTTGTCATTTCCTGATATTCATTTGAATTTAGCGATTTTTGAATTTACAATATTCAAACATTCAATTACATGGTCTTCCGTCCCCCGTAGCCCCCTCTTTTTGATCAATGTGTCCTGAAAATATGCTACCATGGCTACAACTAGAATGAAACTATAACCTGGCATTGCTCGTAACCACAATTTAATTGAAAATCACTTTATTAAATTGCAATTAAGCAATGAAGTGTCGGTCATGCAAAAAAGAGAGCGGAAAAAGAACAAAGAAAAGGGGAAATAATTGAAAGACAGTAAATACCACAGAAACTGGGCAACGAAATAGCGAACGAGTGGGAGGGAGATTGAGAAAAAAATGTATGATATGAAATATTTCATACTTTTTTATGTAATATGAATATTAAGTATTGTTCCACATTTTGCCTTTTTTATTCCCCTTCTTCCTTACCGAGTTTTTAGTTACTTTTTGTTCGAAATCAATTGAATAAGCCGAGGTTTTTACTTTTTCAATGTTTTTGCCATACCATTGTTCAGTCCGATACACGTACACATTCCGAACATTGGGAATGTTGTATTAGCTGTTGCTGTGTTAGTTCACTAGAAACTCACTCTACCATTTGCCATTGTTCAATTTCCAACGTGGCTATTTTTCTATGCCACTTCAATACCACGTTTACGCTTTTAATCCGTAACGTATTTCGGTTAGTGATGGGATTTAAACATCAATTTAACTTAGATACAACAATGCCAACAATGAATTACTGGCTATGGCGGAAGGTAAAGAGGCACTGGCAAAAAATCCAAAAAAAAAACGAGACAGGAAATGAAACAGTTAAAGTCAAAATCTATGTTGAATTACTTGCTAAAGGTATCTCAGGGTGTTGAAGCAATGGCTCGACACAGTCGGACAATTTTTTTTTTGCTATTTCTTCATTGCATAATATAATTAATGGAAAACTTTTCCGCGAAAGGAAAAAAAGTTTTGTAGGTTTTACAAATATAACATTTAGTAAAGGGATAATATATTACCCGCAGGCTCTCTGAATTCTTTATCCTACTTCAATTGCAATCACCCGATTTATCAAAAAAGTCATGTAAAAATTGATGGAATATCAGGCATATCTATCGTTCAAATCAAATATTCTTCAAATCTTGGATTTGAACAAAAGTATCCAGGATTACTACAATAATTTCAATGAAGACGTCCCATTCGAAATTGGTATTTATTTTTTGCCGGCGTTTAAGTTTGTCATTCCGTTTGTTGATCATTGAAATAACAAGACGCTACAAACTATATATTTTTACTCAGATTAAAATTCTGAGACGAATATTCCGCCTGTCCGTCTGTTGTACTTATGTTAGAGTAAAACCTAATTGAGATAGGATGCTAAAATTTACAGACAGGTAAATTTCGAAGATATACGCTATGCGGTCAACGATATCGCCATATAATGTTATCCCTCGATAATACTTTTTTTTAAATTTTAGCCATATTTTAAACCAGTAAAGAAAGTCCTAAAGTCGGGCGGGGCCGACTTTTTGATACCCTACACAGCCTTGATAATTTAGTAGAGCTCCACATAACAATTAAAAGTTTTTATGGGAGAATTCAATCATACACGCTATGATTATAATTATAATTTAAAGTTCAGAGGAGTAAATATACCGAAGCATTTGTGTCTTTTAAATTCGGACTTGTATTGCCCATTTGGTGCACAATTAATTTGAAGTCGGATGAAGATATATATGGGAGATATATCCCAATCTGAACCGATCTCGATAAAATTTGGCGAAGATATTTCCGAGCTGCATTTGATATATTTCCCCAAATATTGTTGTTACAGAGTGAATATTACGGCT